GAGAAAAAGCTTTAAACAATAAGAGGTAACTAAAGGGAAGAGGCTGACTGGTTGAGTAGTGAGAATTCCATTAGGGAAACTGTTCTAGCAGATACTGGACAACATCTTCGGAGGGTTGCTTTTATCACAATTTATTTTTTTTTTTCCTCTTATTTTCTGATGTTGGCCAGGCATAAATGAATCAGGAGGCTTTGGCTAGAAACAAATGATAAAGATTTATTTAAGTGTCTTAGAGTTTGTAAACTAGAAACGTAGCTAGGCAAAACCTAGAAGTGTTCTGAAAAGTTAAGAATTCTTATTGTAAAAGTAACACCCTTGAGAATAATCATTCCTGCATTTTTGGCCTTCAGATTGGTCCAGAACAGTCATCAGCCAGAGGTCAGGTGGTCCAGACAGGGGCCAGGTGATCTGGTCAAGTAAACATTTTTTTTCCTAAGTCCTTCAGAGTCAATTAGAGGGTAATCTTATAGGAATTATACATGCATATCTCTAGGTACAACTGGAAGGTTTAAAGGTTTAGGTTCCCAGGCTAGTTAAAGCAAGAATAGAATTATTTTTCAAGCCTCAGCTGACTTGATTTTAACAATTTGGGAGCTTGATTCTAATGACTCCATTTTATTTCTTTATTCCTCATTACATGCATTTTATTTCCTCTCCTTCTAAGCAATTCCTTTCAGGTGACAAATCCTTCAGAGACATATGATGTAAGAGGGTAAAATGGTGACTCCTATTGGTTTGGGAGAAGAATTCACCCCGAAGCCCATGGGAGTACCATGTTAGCTGTTTTGTGTTTGCATCCTAAATGGAGGAAACCTGTCGAACAATTTTTCTGTCCTATATTATAACCTGATTTTCCTGCCCATCAAAACCAGAACCAGGCCAACTTGATTGATTTTTTCTTTGTTTAAAGTTTTAGACAATGAAATGTCCTATTAAAAATGTAAGGACCAAGCTATCCCTGTGGAGTAGATAAAGTAAATGCAGCATCAAGGAATAAAAAGAATTGGCAACTGAAGTATTAGAATCCGTTACACATTCTTTCTACGTCTAATTTTTTCTATTAATAAAGTGACAATAAGCTAATTTTACTTAAAGATTACCTTTTAGCAGATGAATTAATAAAGGAAAAGCAGTTTACTCTTCTTAGGAGAAGATAAAAAACATAAGATTTCCCCCATGGTTGGGGAAGAGGCCAGGTGAATTTTCTCTGATAGAAGTAGAGGTAAGCATTAAAGTTACTGGGTTTCCATAGGTTGGTGACAGGTTGGCATTGCTTCTCATTTAGAAGATAATAGATAACTGCATATTAAGAAGGAGAATGTTAATTCTGTCTGAAGCTCTTACACAAAAAGAGGACTATTAGATTTTCAAAAGAAACAGAGATAATATAACAATCTTAGGTTTAAATAAGACTCTACTTCAAAGACTTTTTTTTTCCACTTTTCTTCTTCTGCCTTGGTGAACATTTATTTGATGCTTATTGGGCATGACATTCTATGAGACACAACAAGTATATTCCAGAACAGAGATGAACTGGTACTTTGGCTATCTGTTGGAGGGATGTGAGCGAGAGTTGTAGAGGTATAATATTGTTCCAGAAAATCTGTTTTGGACATGTTATCATCAAAATTCTATCTTTCTTTTTCTAATTTTTAAAATTTTCTTGTGCAGTAGTCTACTTATATTCATTCCCAAATTCTCTTTTTAATCTCTTCAGAGATCTTGAACTCAAACTGATAACTTTAGCTTGAAATTCCTAATTGACATTCTTCGATTTTATAATACAGCTGAAGGGGCAGGTATGCTATATTAAAGTAGCAAGTTGTCACCCAGGCAACTACCATTCTATATTGAAAATAACAGCACACATTTATTGAGCAGCTCCCAAAACTTTGTTATTCACTTTATGAGTATTACCTTAAGCTGTTCACTTAACAACATTATAATGAAGGCACTATTTCTATACCTGTTTTACAAATGAGGAAACTGAGACATTGAGAAATTTTAAAACTGACTCACAATCTCACAGCTAATGTAGAGCACACACTCTTAATCACTCTGCCAGACTGTCTCTCTATGCAGAGTTCTTATAACCCTGCGAATCGTCCACCCGTTCATCCAATCAAATAGCCAACAAGTATATACTAGGAATATGAACTATGAATAAGAATTACATGGTGACTGTCCACAGGTTGCTTTCTAGAAGAGGAGGGACAGTTATGCAAGCATCCCCACACAGCCTGATAAGTGCTGTGACTTATCACTAACTTATCACTTATGGATGTCAGGGAAGCTTAGGCTATGCTGGGGCATAGAAGGAGGCTCTAATTCTGTCTGGAAGCGGGTGTCAGGACAGACAGGTCAAAGAGTTCTTGTCCTCATCACTGTGTGCTTCAACTGTTTTGTAGCAAAAGGCTACAAAATGTCACCTCTAGAAAGAAAGGTCTTTGAAGCAAGTTCCTCTTTTGTGTTTTCCCCTGGTGCCTGGCACATCATGGCTGCTCAATTAAAATCTGTCAAAAAAATAAAAGTTCTAATGCTCCATAATAACTCCATTACAACGAGGAGCCTTTTAACTTATTTCTAACTTGACTGAACATTCTTAAATGCTTCTCCTGTAAGCTTGAAATAAACGTTTCCTTTTGACTTGAAAAATCAGTCCCTGTTCCTTTTGGAGCCATTTTCTAAAAAGGGCTATTCTAGGAAAGCTGCCACACCCATTACATTTTATTAGAACAATGTGTCCTGTTAAAACAGGTGTGTGCTCCAAGTAGAGATTCTGGGGCAGTCTGGTAAAGTGGAGACTCCCGTGACTTTTTCCCCTCTTTTTTTTTCAGTTATCTGTGGATTCCATGCTCTGCTCTGTGCTTATGAAATATTTGCTCTTCCTTCACCTTTCCAGGATGGCTTAGAAATTTTTCTTCCCCTCAACTTCTTCCCCACTTGAGAAAGTGGTTCTTAATTATTTACCACCCAATCCTCTGGCCGCCTATAAAAATCCAGGGCAAAGAGAGAGAGAGGCCAACAAAAAACTGAAAGTCCAGGCTAATAATTTCCCTCAGTAAGAATCTTTGTTATTATAAGGCGGTGTTTTATTTAGGTTGTAGTTCTCAGCTGTAGAACAAGTATGCGATTATGTCTTCCTTGTGGCTTCTTAGAATGTGCTGGGGTTAATGTAATATTTTCCTTAGTGATACAGTGAAAAATTCAAGGTAGCAGAATAATGCTGACGGGACGTGGAAACCAGATCTCCTAAGGGGAGAAGTTAACTTGGAGCTGGTAGTCTTTATGGCCCTTCCCAGAGTCACAGTAGCCAGGTTTGTACATGATTTTACATTATCTAATTACATAATTTTACTTACTGACCTGATGCCACAGTTTGAAATTGTACCTCAGTCCCTTCCTGGCCTGACGTTTTTCCAGAGCCTAGCTCCTTCTCATATGCTATATAATTCACTTTATTATTATTATTATTAATTTATTTTTAATGTCTGACATCCCTCTAAAACTTAAGCTCCTTCAAGGGTGAGAATTTTTACATGTTTTGCTTTTATTCATCCAGGGCCTAGAATTGTCCTGGACAGGGTAGATGCACAATAAATATCTGTTGAATAAATGAATTACTAATCCCAATTGAAGCAATATTAATAAATAACAACTATGATCAAGTTTTTCCTACATGTATTTATTTTATAGACAACTGGTTGTCTATAAAGTAAAATTATTTGTGGAAATCCTCTAATTGAACAAAATACGAGCCATAGAATCTCTACCAAGGAATCGATGGTCAAAAACCACACAGAACCTATTTTCATCAGCATGATAAGGTCTTCTAAACATTTATATGGAAAGATAAGCCTGTGCTGGTGGAAATGGAAAATCTGGAGGTTTCCTGACGTGGGTAGATTTACTTGAATCCCTAAAGCTAAGGGTATGGTTCGGCTCAGTGTACTTGTAACTGTTCTTGGCAACAAGTTTAGGTGGTGCTTACTACCCCCACGAAACTCAGAGAGTCACTAATTTTATATTCCCATTTCTGGACAAAGCATTGTCATCTAATTCCACAGTTCTTAGTACAGGATCAGGCAGTTTCTAAGAACTCAACACATAAAAGATGAATAGAGGAGTATATTAATTATTTGAGAGCTTATCTTGTACTTGAGATTGTTATAAGCACAGAAGACACTTCCCAGCAATGACATGTCAGTGTGCTCTGAGAACCTTAGTGGCTGCTCCAACTTTTCCTTTCCACCAAGACTCCTCTTTCTGAGGCCAATCTAGCGTAAGTGAAATCAGGCTGATCTGAATGTCAGGTAACCTCCCTCTCTCATCCAATGTGGCCTCTCTCAACAAGTGGCCTGAAGAACTGAGAAAGGACTAGACTTATCTAGAAGCTGGAGGAACAACTGACCTTTCTGGGCTTGGATTAATATAATGAATGGGCGAGCCCCAAAAGATAGGGCGTCGCAAGCATAATGACATTTGATTTATTTCTAAACAGAGGAAAGCTTGGGCAGGTATGTAAACATATGCAAATCACATAGCTCGGTAACACCTGTGCTGCTCTTAATTATTTCATATATTTCAGCGTGACTCTTGGGAAAAAGCCTCATGTAAACTATTGGTCTAGTGGTACATGGAGATTCATGAACTCCAAGTTCTAAACCCATCTTTTGTTGTTGTTGTTAATACCGTGAATAATTTATAAAAAACAGCTTTATTGAGATAAAACTCATACACCATATAATTCACCCATTTAAAATACACAATTCAATGGTTTTCTGTATACTCACAGTCATGTAATCATCACCAGTCAGTTTTAGGCCATTTTTATCATCCCAAAAGACACCTTGCACGCTTTAGCAGTCACTACTCCTTCTTCCCTACCTCCGCCTCCCATTCCAGCCATATGCAATAATGAATCTACCTTCTGTCTCTGTAGGTATGCCTATTGTGCATATGTTATATAAATGAAATCATGCAACACATGGCATTCTTTCATTTAACGTAATCTTTTCAATGTTCATGCATGTCGTAGCATGTATCAGTACTTCATTCCTTTTTACGGCTGAATAATATTCCATTATTCCATTCCATATCACACTTTATCTATTCATTCATCAGTCAATGGACACGTGGATTGTTTTCACTTTTTGGCTATTGTGAGTAAGGCTGCTGTGAACATTCATGTACAAGTTCTTACATGGGCATAGGTTTTCAATTCTCTTCGATATATACCTAGGAGTGAAATGGCTGAGTTATATGGTGATTCTTTTTGAGGAACTACCAAATTATTTTCCACAGCAACTCAACATTTTACATTCTCACCAACCATATATGATGGTTCCAATTTTTCTACCCCCTTTCCAACAGTTGTTACCATATGTTTTTTGATTATAGCCATTTGGTTGATGTGAAGTGGTATCTTTTGGTTTTGATCTTCATTTCTCTAAAAACTAATGGTAGTAAGCACATTTTCATGTGTTGATTGGACATCTGTGTATCTTCTTTGGAGAAATTCTATTTCTAAAGGAATGTCTAAAATTCCTTGCCCATTTTTAAATGGGTTATTTGTCATGTTTGCTTCAGCAGCATATATACTAAATGAGTTATTTGTCTTTTAGTTGTTGAGTTTTTCTTCTTTTGCCCTAAGAATGGGGGATGATTGGAGGAAGAGAACCTCAGACTTCTCACCTGCTCTTATCTAGATTAGAGCTTCGGCAACACAATTCTGGGGTGGATGAGATGCCGGTTGCTTTTCCCAGAATTATACCATAGCCTTAGACTGGGTTTGAGGTTGAGAGGGAGCCCTGTATTCTCAGCTATACCTACCCAGAGTGGAGTACCATAATACCTGTCTGGAGGAGGGCAGAGAAATGGATTGTGGCTCAAATGCCACAAACTCCTGTTGTTCTTACTAAAATTTAGTAGGTTGTCTTGAATAAATTTTTCTTCATCTGTTTTTTCTCAGAACAATTTCTAGAGATTAAATAGTTGTTTATCTATAATTTTTATCACTTATTGTTATATTGTTAAAGAGTAGGTTCACAGAGCTCCTCATATCATTCTGGAAGTTGAAGCCTATTTGGATAATTTTTGATTAAGGTTTTGCATCTTGTATACTTGGTGGTAAAATAGTTTATGCTGACATAGAATTAGGAAGGACAGTTTTTACAAAAGTATTTGCAAATTTATAAACAGTGGGTTAAGAAAACTAATTGAAGTTGAGGGCTGGTTGACTTTCAACTTCATATCCAGTCAAATTCTAGAACGCCTATGCATTTGGTTCAACAAACCATTTATTATTATTAAAGTCATATGGAAATATTTGAATAATGAGGGCGACAGTGCATTTCATGAGTTTGTCGTTGCTCTAGTAATCTATGTACAAAGCCATCGTAACTATTGCAATGGTATTCAAAATAATGCCTATTTTTAAAAGCATAGGAATAATTCAGATGTGAAAATCAAGTTATTAAAACCTCATTAACTTTATGCATTAATCCCAAAAGCAAAAATGACCATGTATTTCTTAATTTTTTTTTTTTTTTAATTCAAAAGAACTACTATGACACAGTCTTTTGAAAAACAACTTTCCCAACTTCCCTGATGCATTCATTTGTAGTTTAGGGCAAAGATTTACATTTAACGATTCCGCAAATTCTTTATTTGATCTTGGGCTGAGCTCATATGTTCATTGCCAACCAGTTGAATGTCACTTTAGTTGAAACAGACCTAGAATCTCTGCTCATGTTCAAAGCCCTACTCTTCTCATTCCCCCACACTGCCCATAGCAAAATTAACTATACTTTTCTTCTTGAGTTTAGAAATCTGGTTACCTATAAATGACCACTTAAGCATTTTTGAGAAAATCCATCCTGCTTAATAATCATGAGAAAATATTAAAATGTATTCCTTGGAAATTCATCACTTTTTGGGTGGTTGACTTGTGTGTATTCTTGCCTGAAGTAGCTTATGGGCAAAAAATATTGTATAAAAGCATGAAATTAGATGAAGATGAATATTTAAGAATGAAACCAAGCACTTCCTAATGATATTTCCTGTAATGATATTTACTGAACTACATAAAGATAAATAATGAAAATAATTTACAAAGTAATTTTCTCTTCTTTTGGCTTGGAAAGTTTCAATAATAAAGTTTGCTTTCTGTTGAGTGAAAGATCTTAGTTTCTAACATAGTTAAAGGCAAATGGAAAAACCCATTCAATTCTTAAAATTTTAATGCTCTAAGTAATAAACTGATAAATGACATTAAAGCTTGGTATTATTTTCCCCCGATAAAGACAGAAATTCTATCCTACTAAATAAAGCCACTTTACATTTCAAACTGATATTTTGGAAGATGCTTACCTCCTGGTTGGGTCTATCTCCCTGAGGCTTAGGTGAGCACCGGTGCTTTGGCCCCTCTCCAGATGCTGCGAGCTTCCCACTGCGCCGGGCGCCTCAGAGCTTCCCAGAGTTGGGTGTTTGGCTCCGCCGTCTGCACTATTACTAAAACTCCAATTATGCCAGACTGATTCTAGCGATTAATTATCAACAAAAGGAAAACATTCCCACACAAACTTGTGTCCAACTGCACTGCTCCCAGTGACTCCTTCCAGAAGAGAATGACGGCTGCACCACTCCCTTCCCCCTTTGCTCTACAGTCCCAACTTCCCACAGGATGCCACTCTCGGTCCTGGCAGATCAGGCTCGTCCTCGGAAGAATGCAGCCCAACGACTTTTACATTTTTAAATTTGGTTTTGTGAGGCTCGTTAGCACTTCTCCTGGGATCAGCCTCTCAGGAGGGGGCACTTTCCGGATGCTGGGGAAGCCAGGGCTCTGAGAACAACCGAGGAGACTAAGGCGTCGCTGTCACCTCCGGCTGCTGCAGTAAAACCCCAAGCCGCGGCGGGAATGGGGAGGAGGGGATAGGGAGGCCCCCTCCCCCACCCTCGGGCTGGGAGCCCCGACATTACCAAAGGGGCACGTCCTTTGCTAGGGGTGGAGGGGAGCAGATAAACAGGAGGTGCAGGTGGAAGCTTTGGGGCTTTAGCCGAAGCCAACATTAACCCACCCAGGGAGAGCCGGTGCTCAGAATCCATCCATCCGCAGACTTCGGCAACCCGGTGAAGCCCGGCGGACGCTGAGCAGACTGCGGTGTGAAACTCAGCCCCAGGCTGCGAAGTGAGCCCAGGGCTCCCGGCCAGGGCAGCAGTCGTCCGAGCAGGTATCTGACTGCATTTGTTTGTTAAAGACGAAAGGAAGCAAACCTATTTAGCACTGGCTGCTAATTTTTTGTACCGTTGAATGTGCAAAACATCTCTCCCCTCCCCACGCCCTCCATCCTGCCACCTTCCCTCCGCCCCGTGGCTGGGAGGTTAATAGTTAAAAAGCTGGACTCCCCTGGGGAGACAGATAGAAGGATCGTGCCCCGAGAACTTGTGGGTGCTCACTCACAAGTGAAGAGAATTAATTTGGGCCCGGACTGCAGCAGGAAGGTAAATTGGGGAAAGAGGTGACTCGGTGATGCAGACACGCGTGGTGCGGGTTCCCGCGGCCCCGGGGCGGGCGTGCCCAGTGCTTGTGCTCAATTATCTTTCCGAGGAGGTTTGGGACCTCGAAGACCATCTATCCTGGAAACATGCATCCAGAATACCACTGATCCCTTCTCTACGGAGGGAAGAGTGCTTAGATTTAACACGGAGGCTGCTTGCTGAGGTCACAGAGGCCCCTGAGGCTCTCAACCCTGTATATCTCCGTAACCGAGACTCCTTAGGTCCAAGACCAGAGGTGTCCGCCAGCGAAAACCTCTTTTGATTAACGAGTATTTAGGCGACATCCCGACAGTCAGCCCTCACTGCCTGAGGAGGCACTGCACATGCTCAGCCAGGGCTGACTCGGCTGAAGCACGAATTTTAGTTGCCGGCAGGTTTCTGCTCGTTTTCACAACATGCTTCAGGCAGGTTCCAAGCTGCTGATGCTGCATAGAGAAGGACTCATGTTGTTAGGCTAAGGTTTCTCCATGCAGGAGAGAAGCTGTCCCCAAAGGAAGCTGAAGGTGGTCGAAGGGAACCAATAGCAACTGAGGCCTGTGTTGGCAGTTTTACATTGTTATCTTTTCCTTCACCTTTATCTAAGTATTAGCAAACACTTAGTATTTTTAAAATTTCTTTATTGCTTTATATTGTTCACATTCCTTATCTCCTGGCTTCTCCTGACAAGCCTGATAATGTTGGCAGAAAAAGTATGACTTCCTCCTTTGGGAGAGATGAGGAACTGGAAAACTCCTTTCCTCATCTGGAGAGTGACTTGTCTACATTTGCCAAGCCCATTTCGTGTTACGGACAATATATACTAGTTTGTAGGTCTCATTACTCATTATCTAGTTTTCTCACTAGATAGTGACGTCTGCCCCCCACCCCTACCCCCATGTGATTGTACATTTTTGGAAGTATAGAAACAGGTCTCACTTTCTGCCAAAGGTTTGTGACATAGGTATGAGACCTTGCAGTTACTCCAACTGGAGGATGGGAGAAAGTAGTACAGCTAGCAGAAGCATCCTGATCATTAAAAACAATCTTAAATGACACATATGTAATATAACCAAACACAAATACACCTTTATGTATATCTTCGTACCCCCAAATGGAGAATAGATGCTTTTTCCTATGCAAACATAGAACATTCTCAAAACTTAACTAGATCACCAAATAAGGATCAACACATTTTAAAAGGCAGAAATCATAAAGATTACATAATCCATCAAAATACAGGAAGGATAAAATTAACAACAAAAATTCCCTCTGATTGATATACAATCGGAAATTTTAAAATGCTTTAAATCTATATTAAAGAGAAGCACAAAGGAAAAATTTAACTCTTTACTTTTATACTGACATAAAATATTATTTAATTTCTTTATACTATTCAATAGAATTTGAAAGGTATTTGAAGAGATTGTCATATGTTAATGAAATTACATATGCTAGTCTTCACTGCGTCACCAACTACCTATGTACCTTTGGCCAAACCAGCTAACTAGTCTAGAACCATATCATGGTTAAATCAGGTACTTGGATAAATTACTGAAATACGTTAATCAATTAAAGGAACCAATTTCCTTTTGGCTAGTAAAGAGAAAGCTCATTAATAATCTTACATTTACCTTTTTTTCTCAGAATACGGGGGTAATTCTGTTTTTCTGTAAAATGGAAATATTTTCCCCTCCCAGTTATATTGTTATAAAGATGCACCTGATTTCCTCCATTACTATCGATTCTTTTGTTTTACTTTCCCTCTATCAATGTAGAATTTTATTTTCTTCATTAATTAGAACTGTCAGGTTGAAAACAAAGCAAACAAATCAGGAAAGTTGTATGGCTTGGGTCTTTGAACTCTGCCAAACTTTAAAAGAATAATAATGATAGAAATAATGATGATAATGACTATCATTTATTGAACTACTACCGCCAAGGTTTCCATAAGTCATCTCTTTTTCTCGCCATGAGTAGGACCTTTTTCTAAGGCAGTATCTTTTATTTCATTTTTATAGACAGCAAACCAAAAATCAGAGAGGATATAACTCTTTCTAAGGTGAAACAGCTTTAAGAGTTGGACATCAAAACCAGTCTTTTACCCAATACACTGTTGACTCACTTTAAAACAAATTTTCCATGACTTCTCACATATATATCTCAAAGAAGGTGGTTGTGTTATTCTGCTTAAGAGAATGGATGTTGGATCCATACTTCCATATTTAAATCTCAATTTGACCACTTAACTTGTGAATTTAAGTTGCAAATGAGGATAGCTTACTTAAACCTCTCTAAAGTTTCAATTTTCTCATTTGCCATAAAAGATAATAAACATTGAATTATTTGAGTTAATATACAAAAAGCATGTAGAAGAATGCCTGACACTGAGTAACTATCCCATAAGTGTTCACTACTTTTGTTTTGAGAGTTCAATGAGATTTTAATGCATGTAAAGTAGTGTTGACTTTAAAATAAAAAGTCAAAGTGAGAGGAAATTAAGTATTTATTTGAGATCCAAAGAAAGCACTGATTCAGGCAAAAACCCCAAAATGTTCTGATTTTAGGGTGAAGGCAAGGGGGTTTTATGAGAAGGGAAGGGAAATAATTTCATGAATAGAAAGAAGGAATTTCTATTGGTGCTAATAAGCTAAATTGTTCTTTAGCTCTACATGACTGTTTACTGATTCTAAAGACTGTCTTTAATTTTCAGTCCTGTATGTAGTCAGGATGTCTGCTTTCCTGTTAGCTCTACAAACAGTTGTTTGTAACATAGTGTTGGTTTGGCTCAGTTCAAAGGTTATTTTACCCAGTTCGAACATTCCAAATGTTTAAGGAGTAAGATATGCAAGGCAATTCCTTTGGGATGGTGGCTCCAACTTCATTTGAAAATGGCTCTATTTATATAATTTTTCACCGCAGTTAGCTCAGTATCTGGCCCTTACAAAATGCTTAATACATCTATTTTACTTTTTAAAATGTTTTATTTTTATAACATATATAGTTTTAAACTAGTCTTTCAGGAATGTGATTAGTCTCTCCTTCCTCCTTCCTTGATGCATCCTTCCCTTCCTTCCTATCTCTCCACTCT